ACTAAAATCAGATGCATTATGGGAAGGGACATGCACAGCAGAAAAAATGAATAGGTGACCTAATCTATCAGTCAGAATACAGAATCACTCAAACTATACCATTTAGCAACCAAACTCTTATTGCTCTTGAGCATTATGAAAATAAATCCTGTACAATAATCAGGGCTCTTGAGTCTCTCGCCAATGTGGCCACTGTCAATCCTGACAGCATATCCTATAGTCTGTACTATTGCTTTGTTCAGAATAAAGTTATGTTGCTACTTTTGCAAGTCTGCGTGAGCCCTTATTTTCCAATTCTTTGGGTAAGAGGCCAAGAATCTGGACACATCTGGTCTAGACCCCAACTACTAGTAATAGGTGTAGGATCCAAACTCTGCTATCCAGACTTATATGAAACTTAGATTCTTAAGTGACTGACTTCAGAAAACAGGAGCTAATTTTTAAAAGACAGTGTCTGGCTTTGGAGAATAGTTGGGACCTCAAGATAGAGTTCTTGATGCAGAATGGCACTAGTGGGGGTGACAAGAACCTGTGGCAGTGTTTTCAGGAGTGGAAGGGTAGAGCCTTTTCATTGGGGGTGGTTTGGGAAGCTCAGTCTCAATATGAGTCCCTTATTTATATAGACAACTCCCTTGCCCTGGTCAATAGCAAGCACATCAACTCTCAGCAGTGAACACAAGCTTTGCCTACAGTAGCTCTGCATATTTTATTTTAATTTTACAAAATGCTTATTTTTCATTGTACTTGAGATTATTTATGCCTGTAGAAAATGTCTTTTGAATTTCTTTTATTCATTCATTTTAATTAATTTAAAATTTTATGTGTATGTCTATAACCCTCATGTATGTAAGTGCACCTGTGTTGTGTGTATAATGCCCAGGGAGGTCAGAAGAAGACGTCAGATCCCCTGGAACTGGAGTTATAGGTGGTTGTTAGCCACAATGCTAACAATGGTTGTTAGCCACAAGTGCTGAGAGTCGAACCCGGATCCTCTGCAAAAGTAGTCAGTGCTCTTAACTGCTGAGCCATCTCTCCAGCCCCCTGAATTTATTTCTTTAAGAATTTGGATAAAGCTCTGGATGGTGCTCAGTTGATAGAGTGCTTACCTAGCATGCACAAAGCCCCGACTGTGGTCCATAACACTGTATAAAACTGGGTGTGGTGCTGAAAGTTTGTAATTCCAGCACTTGGGAAGTGGAGGATCAGAAGTTCAAGGTCATCTTTATTTTTATAGTGAGTTTGACGACAGATTGGGATATATGAGACCCTATCTTCAAAAGAAAGAATCTGGATATTAAAGAAAGGTGTCCTGAATTGGCATATAGGTGGGCACCAGCCTTGATGTGAATGTGGTGGTCATCATGGAGTACTTGCATGCAAATATCCATCCTAATGACCTCACAGCTAACTCAAGGCCTTACTTTAGTTCAGTGTGTAAGTCGTGTACAAGGCTATTAAGCTACCAAAGGAGAAATTACTGAAAGAAACAGCCCTGATGAGATAGGTAAGTCTGAGAATTGAAAATCAAGATTCCTGAGGATGTTAATTGGTTGATGCCACCAAGGTTTCTGATTGGGCTTTCTAGAGTAGTGGCACCCTGGGATGTTATCCAACTTCCCTCTGTCAAACTCTGCACTAGACAAGGGGTGCTTGGAGCACCAAAATGCATCATACTTAGTCCTCTCTCTCCCTCAGGGCACCTTGTCCTCTAGGGCTTGTCACAGAATAGATCCTCAATAAATAGCCATTGAACCATCAGGCTTCATCATTCCCAACTCTCATGTGTTGAGGAGGATCTTTACCTTATGTGGGGGATCTACCCACCCCCTGTTGGGGTGAGCCATTGAACCATCAGGCTTCATCATTCCCAACTCTCATGTGTAGAGGAGGATCTTTACCTTATGTGGGGGATCTACCCACCCCCTGTTGGGGTGGTGGGTAGCCTGCATTGAGGGGAGAATGGAAAGCAGAGAGAAGACATTGTTAGTTACAAACTGCCATTATAAGAAGTCTGTGCTATATGTATTTGTTTTATAGAGTTTCTGTTCTGGAGCATGCTTGGGATGGTCACCTCTGTTCCTAGAAATTGTTTAGAGATCCAAAGTCTGTCTACAGCAAGTGTAGCCTGATTGGTGACAAAGAATGTTTGCTTTACCCATCCTGTTAACTCCATGGGAGGGAAGACCATCTTAGAGTAGGTAGGTTTTCTTTCTGGAAAAGTGGGCACTGCTCAGGACATAGTCAAAAGTTTTCACATATACTTTAGTAGAGAAAAATCAAAATTTTCCTAAGCATTGAGCCCAAAACGTTGGAACCAAATATGGACCACAGACTGAAACAAGGCAAAAACAAGGTACAGCCTACATAATACTTCAGGGATGGGAGCTTAGGGGTCTTACTCTTGGTTTTTCATGGGTTAACACGGAAAGTCAAGACTGAGAAAGAACATCTCTGGTCAGCCCCTTCTCAGAGTCATCTAAAGAAAACACATGGAATTTTCTTTATTTTTATGTGCAATGTCATGTCAGTTCCTGCTGCTGGCTGTTCTCTGCCCTAGAGGACCAGCCCTGCTATGTTGGAGAACCTTCTAGAGCTGGTGAGGAGCTCAGCCTAGGAACAAAGGGGGTGCCTGACTCTTGTAACACACAAAAGACAGGCTTAGATGACTATCTCACCTGCAGGGGACCTTCTGCCCTGTTACTGCCTGAACTTAGACAAGATTCAGGTAATTTCTTTCTTTCTGGACTGTTTCCCCATATTGAGCCAATGCTAGCATATCAGCATGAACTTATCTGGTGTCAAATCTTCAGCTCTCGGCTGGGGAGATGGCTTAGTGGGTGAAATTCCTGCTACATGACAATCTGAGTTTGTTTTCCTAGCACCACATAAAAAAACCACATACGGTGCCATACACCTCTAACTCCAGCTCTTGGGGGAGGATGGGCAGAGACAGGCAAATCTCAGGTGCTTGCTGTCCAGCCAGTTTAGCTGAAGCAGCAAGCTCCAGGTTCAGTGAAAGACCCTGTCTCAAAAAGTAAGGTGGAGAATGATAGAGGGAGACATCTGATAGTATTAACCTCTGGATGGACACATGTACACATGGGAGAACACATGCATGAGAACAGACATAGATGTATAGTAACTGAATAGGTTTGCCCTAAAATGAGGCAGATCTGAGTTGGAATTCCAGCTTATTAACTGTGCCAATATGGTTAGCTACTTAGAATCTTTACCAGACTTATTTGACAAGTGATAAACTACCATCTTCTATGGAAGGTGCCCCAGTACACTTGTGAGCTACTTTGAGGTTTATTTATTTATTTTTTTAAATTTTTATTTATTTTTTACATGTACGAGTGTATTGCCTGCATGTATGTAAGTGCACCCGTATTATGCAATGCCCACGGAGGTCAGAAGAGGGTGTTGGATCCTCTGGAACTGGAGTTATGGATGGCTGTTAGCTGCCATGTGGGTTCTGGGATTGGAACCTGGGTAAGAGCAGCCAGTGCTCTTAACTGCTGAGCCATCTCTCCAGCCCCTTGGGTTTATTATCTTTTAAATTTCATACTGGCTTCCACTGCATTGATTATCATAGGAATGTGGGTTTGGGATGGATACAAGTATGTAAATTGATGGCTTTTGTGTCACTGTTGACTTTTCTTCTTGTGTGGGTGAGTCACTTGAATTTTGAGGGTGGAATAATTCACTGCTTCTTTCTAGTCTAGCCCAGACATATGAAGCCCCAGAGGAGAAAGCAGGGGGACTTACCAAAGAGGGGACCAGGCCATGAAGTCCAACCTCTGGAAGACAAAAAGCAAGCAGCTCATGAAACCTGAGCAGGGCAGTTATGAAGTCCCTGTTCTTGACACATATCTCCCACAGCGCAGATTTATTTACCTTTTGGAGGCAACATAATGCTACTAAAGATTTTATGAAACTTTTAAGCTTTTCAAATGTCTGTTACTGTTATTCTAGTAGAAATCTTGAAATTACTGATTTATTTATTTATTTATTTATTTTTAATCCTAAAACTAGAGAAGGAGGCGAGGGCTTTTATACAAGAAGTGAAAGGAGAGATACAGGTCAGGAATTCAACAGTCTCTATGGGGAGAGTCAGGCAGCTGCGGCTTGAGGAAAAAGAGTGAGAAGGGAGTGTGGGATTCAGACACTGGGATTCAGCTTGTATAACGTAACTGACCTGAGGCCGGTATTTTCTGAGCCAGGTATGTAAATGTGGTCCCTGCATGTGGTGATCTGCACAGGAGCCAAAGTCACCAACTCTCCACTCTTCCCTCTGCTCTTCTCTGAGCCCGTAGCCCAAAACGCAATCCCTTAGGTAGGTAGGCCTTTCGACCCGATGCCTCTGACACACAGAAAGGCTGAAATTTCCCGACTGTCGCTCGTCCCCTCTCGCAGCACCCACACAAAGGTGCTATAAGTCACTTGGGAGCTGTCCGTAGTTTCCCCTTTGGCTGGGAGGAATCCGGAGCCTCCGCTCATGATACAGGACCCTCAGAGGGTCCGCCAGAGGGAGAGAGCCCCAAGGTCCCGGACCAGCTCCCAGCTCCGCAAGACAGGGTTAGACCCCCCGCTGCAGCGACTCTGTGGACCACAACCAGGACTCTGCAGAATCGGGAGCTGAAGGACCCGCCTATCCCATTCCCCCGCCCCACCCCCGCCTCCACTCTAATACATCTTGATCCCTCATCCCCACATCCTCCCCTGTTCGCTCTTGAGGCTGCACTGGGCTGTCCTGATAGCCCGACGCTTCGAGATTCTTCTCTGCCCTCCCCCGGGGCACGCCCCCTCCGGTGCATCTTCTCGGGGGCGCTGTACACTTTCGCAGTGGAGACCACCCTTCCCTTCTGGAACCCTGGCTCGTGACCCCTCCCCTTTCTGGCTCCGCCCCTCCTACACCCGCTGCCCCCCTCACTAGTTTTCTAAGCACCAAGTTGGACAGCACGCTCCGCCCTCATCTTTAGTACTAGGGAGCGCAGGAGAGGGGGCCGGAGCGGATGGGAGGAGCTCCCAGGCCCCTCAAAAGCTGCTGGCCCACTGGAAACCCCTGGATCCGTTGGTACAGCTTCCGAGGAGAAGAGAGCAGCCCGGGCGGCCGTCGTGGGCCGAGGACCACTGAGGGACAGCAGGCTGTCCACTCCTCCCTCCCGGGAGCGCACACCCGCCGGCCAAGCCGGGTCCACAGGTAGGACAAGTTCCTGGGTCTACTCTCTGTGGACCCTGAGGGCTATGCATGAATAGGAGACGCTTAAAGCACCTGTGCTCAGGTTTATTTTAGAGGTTGGAAGGACCTCTCTATTGCGTTTGCTGTTCTAGGGCTAGTTGTTTCAAAGGGAGGATTTGGGTGATGGAGAAAGGTATGGGAGGGACTGATGGAGGACGGAAAGTGATGGCCTTGATTACCTTTGGACAGGTGGCCATGACCTCACTGCCCACTCGAAGCCCCGGGAACCCCGGTTTGTTTTCTGGGCTGCCGCCAGCAGGCTCACCTCCAGCCAACCAGAGCGCAGAGGCCTCGCGGAGCAATGGGTCGGCTGCGGGGCCCCGCGCGGCAGCGGTCACGCCGTTCCAGAGCCTGCAGCTGGTGCATCAGCTGAAGGGGCTAATCCTACTGCTGTACAGCATCGTGGTGGTCGTGGGGCTGGTGGGCAACTGCCTGCTGGTGTTGGTGATCGCGCGGGTGCGCCGGCTGCACAACGTGACCAACTTCCTCATTGGCAACCTGGCTCTGTCCGACGTGCTCATGTGCGCCGCCTGCGTGCCGCTTACGCTGGCCTACGCCTTCGAGCCTCGCGGCTGGGTGTTTGGTGGCGGCCTGTGCCACCTGGTTTTCTTCCTGCAGCCAGTCACCGTGTACGTGTCCGTGTTCACACTCACCACGATCGCTGTGGACCGCTACGTCGTGCTGGTGCACCCGCTGCGCAGGCGCATCTCGCTGAGGCTCAGCGCCTACGCCGTGCTGGCCATCTGGGCGCTGTCCGCGGTGCTGGCGCTGCCGGCCGCTCTGCACACTTACCACGTGGAGCTCAAGCCCCACGACGTGCGCCTCTGCGAGGAGTTCTGGGGCACGCAGGAGCGCCAGCGCCAGCTCTACGCCTGGGGGCTGTTGCTGGGCACCTACCTGCTCCCTCTGCTGGTCATCCTCCTGTCGTATGTCCGGGTGTCGGTGAAGCTCCGGAACCGCGTGGTGCCTGGCAGTGTGACCCAGAGCCAGGCTGACTGGGACCGAGCGCGCCGCCGCCGCACCTTCTGCTTGCTGGTGGTGGTGGTGGTGGTGTTCGCAGTCTGCTGGCTGCCGCTGCACATCTTCAACCTGCTGCGGGACCTTGACCCGCGCGCCATTGACCCCTACGCCTTCGGGCTGGTGCAGCTGCTCTGCCACTGGCTCGCCATGAGCTCTGCCTGCTACAACCCCTTCATCTACGCCTGGCTGCACGACAGCTTCCGGGAGGAGCTGCGCAAGCTGCTACTGTCCTGGCCCCGCAGGATCGTGCCCCAGGGCCAAAGCATGACTGTCAGTGTGGTCATCTGATGCCAGCCTGCCAGGCCTGCTCTGGGAAGCTCCACATCCCTTTGCTATAGAAGTCGCACTGAGGTCGGGCTTGAGACCTTATTTCCAGCACCAGAGCTAAGCCAACACAGTGCAAAATTCCCATCCCAGCATTGTCTAGCTGTCTGTCTTGTTCTTCTGTCTCTGTGAAATGTTAAGTGGATTTTGGTATGCAGGAGGCCAGGGAGAGGGAAGTGGATTTATTATTCTTCCTTCTACCCTAGAGAGCCAAATACTGCTCTTTCTCTGGGTACAGAAAAAAATAATTCAGAAATGTAGTTTTACCGTTTCCTTTCTTTCTTTCTTTTGCTCTACTGCGGTGGCGAAGAAACTGTGGGTGGCATTTAACTGACAGTGCTGGGGTTGGTGAAGATTTTCCTTTTTAAAAGAACCCAGCTGAGATATAATGCCTGATGTTATTTCTATCAATGTGAGCCCTGGAGTCTCTAGGATTTCAGATAAATATATATCCCAAATCAACACTGAGGATTTCAGCATTTCCTGAATAAGGATTTTCATCTTAAAACCAATTGAATTTATAGCACGAAACCACTTTCAAACCATGTTTTAAAATGGTTTACTTTTGTTTCCCCTCCTAAACTCCCCAGTTGCTATATTAAAAAGATGAGGGCTGGGGATGTAGGTCAGTTGGTAAAGTGCTTGCCTAGCATGCATGAAGTCCTGGGTTCAGTCCCCAGTACTGCATAACTGGGTGTGGTGATACATACCTGTAATCCCAGAACACAGGAGGTGGAGGCAGGAGGATCAGGAGTTCAAGGCCAGTCTTGGAAATACGATGTGTTTGAGGCCAGCCTGGAATACATGAAAGGAATCAGTCAATGATCAAAGAGAAAAATATCCATTTCACTTAAGGGCACATATAATGGTCCATGACCAACATCCTGTGTGTGTGTGTGTGTGTGTGTGTGTGTGTGTGTGTGTATGTGTACTTGTATATCCAGTATTTGCCATAAGACAAACCCTCAAATATTTGACTTTATGAATGCTCAGTGTAAACTGTGTGCCACAGCATTCTTACGCATCCTGTAATTGCTGAATTTTGACAGATCAACAGCTGCCATCTGACTACCCAGCACCTGTTCCCTGGACACTTTTGCTGCATATCAGCCCAGAACCCAAGGGATGCAAAAAGACTACTTGAAGACAGCACAGAAAAAATAAACTCCCATCCACCAGAGGCATAGATCAGAAGCTAATTACCTCCAGGGTTACAGGAATAGGTGAAGACTCTTGGACAGGAACCCAGGCTGACGATCATCATATTAAGCTCCTGAGAGTTCTGTTAATAAGGACGTGTACCTGGGACAAGGGTCTCCACAATGGATGCTGGGACAGTAGCTGGGATGGTGAGAGCAGGAGCCTGGGGGAAAGGACACACAGCATCCAGCTGTCAGCCTGGCCTCTGTGTTATATGCAGTATGGACTAGGGTCTGCAGCAACTTTGTGAGGCTCCAGTGCTTCCCCAGCTCATGGAGAAGCAAAGCTTCCCCCCCCCCCCGAAATAGCCTCACCCATTTATCAGAGTGCTCTCTGAATCAAAGAGAGAGAGGACAGCACTGGCATGACAAGGTTAAATTCCACTAGGCTCATACCAATAAATGGAAGGGACAGTGAGTTTTCGCTACTAGGATAGGCAGCTCTAGGAATCTTAGTAGCTACAGGGTTAGAGTCAACAGATCAGGAGATGCTGACTTGGGAGAAAGGATAAGGAAGGTTAAGATGGGAGATGGTAGTTGTCTCTGGTAATAGCACCTAAGTGACTTTGAGCTTCATCTAGAGACTGAAGCACCAAGAACCTGTATTCTAATAATGAAACTGAGCCTAAGTGTAATGTCACAGTATTATGTTCCCTGCCCCAAATGACCTTATCTGCCAGGTATCCAGTGATGGGCTCCTGTGCTTCTGAAAGCTCCATTGCATTTGGGGTTCAAGGTCAGAGCATTCTTTTGATGGGTACATGTGAAGAGAATAGGGGATGGAGGACTAGGTGGGATTAGCTGGGGAGGGAGGTAGTTAATTGTGGTTTCTTTGTTGGAAATCACTGGTTCTCAGCCCTGGATGCTCCTAGAATCCCCCAGGGAGCTTAGAAAACCTAACCAAATAAAATACATGGATACCTAGTCCCTACCCACCCTCACCCAAATCTAATTGACTTGAGCTGGGCCTTGAGGTTCCACGTTTTTCAGGGCAAAGCACTTCAGGAAATTTTAATGTGCAGGTTAAGTAAAGCACCTTAAAAAAAAAACCCTCTTTTCTAATGCCTTCAGAAACGTCTACATGAAGGTTCATTTGTATCTGCCAAAGGTATTGAGAATCTGGACTTAAATTTGACAGTAAGTTGCATACCGTAGTTGGAGAAAGCTCTGTGAGTCTTCAGACAATCCCTGATCTGTCATTTAGAGGGCAATCCTCAGGACTGGAATATTTAGGCATTCCTTCAACAGTCTTCTCAATCAGCTCCTGTGTGAATCTGATCAGTTTAGAAGAAACATTATTCCATTTTAGATTCACTACATTATAAAGCTACCTGTCTTGAAATATTTCAAATCCTCATTGTCAAGGTGTTAAAAAAAAATAAAATGTTCCCTGATGAGCTTAAGTCTGTATCAATCGTGAGAAGATGCCCTGGTTAATTACTAGAAAGTAATTAACTTTGCCCACCATTTTGTCATGTTGCAAATTAAGTTAAAAATGTAAGCATGTCCATGGACTTAGGAGGGCCTAAAGAAGGGAGTGAATTAGGCTGTGCTTATAAACATCTTTACAAATTGTGAAATTGGCAATGGAACAGCAGCTAATTAATTGTTACCCCATGTGACATCTATTTGGAAGTAGTCTGTCAAACAAACTGACTTGTAAAAACATTTCTAAGAGATGGGTCCCAGAGAAATCCACATCGGATTATAGACAGAAAATTGTATTTCATAATTCATTTTTGGTTAATATCAAGTACCTAAGACATGTACACAGGCCTGCTTCTGCAGGAAGTCAGTCAGGAACAAAGCTGGGAATTGAGCCAGCTTGGGGACTTGGCAGCAGCCTTCCCAAGGCTGACAGGAGGTTCTGTAATCCTCTTTGCAAGCATTGTCACAAGGCCTCACTTCTGGCAGCCGATCAATAGATTAATCTCACTAAATCAGCAGAGGAGTATTTCAATATGTGTTGGCAACAGTCACCTGGGAACAGCAAGCGTGAGGGATGCAAGGTAACAATATTCCAATCGGTGCAACCTTTCTGAGCTTCTGTTCTGTTTCAGGCTGCTCTTTTACCAGGGTGGCTAATTTCCAGGTTTGATTTCTCTGGTCAGCTAGTCAACCATCCTTGGTTTGCATTCCTTAGATTCTAGTAGTCTTTTAGATACAAGGTCAGGACCTGACCTCAAGGGCCCATCCCTCATTGAGGAGAAGCTGGGAGCACCTGTGTTCCCCAAGGTATATCTCTGATGGATTTACCTCCATACACTGATGTCTTTGCTGTATATGTGAGACATCTTTGTTGCTTCTCAAGCTGGGGCTTGTAGTGTGGGTGACACAATAATTATTAAATAGGTTGCCCAATCTCTAGCTTTGTGATTAATAAATCTAGCCATGAAGTAACTTCACAACCTTGGTATTAGCCAGAGTTACTCCAAGGGAAACTTAATACCCAATCTGGATTCATCAATTTCAACTATTGCCAGAGATGAACTGTTCATGCTGAATCTTCTGTGATACCCTGTGCCTAACCTGAGTAGTGTTAGGCTATGGCATTTTAGGCTATGGCACCAAGCTCTTCCTACCCCAGAGGCATGAGCCTAAACCCTCAGGTTCAGCGAAATGGAAGTAGAGGATTTCATGTTGAGTTTCTACCCTTTCATGAATGTAGATAAGTATTTAAAGACTATTTCCGCAGGGAAACCTCTAAAAACATATGTGTGGGTCTATAAATAATATCTAGAACATTCCAAAATATTTATGACAAGAGTCATAAACAAGATTTTCTAGTACTTATAAAATATTACTTAAAATGGATTTATGTTTGGCCAGCAAAATGGCTCAGCTGGTAAAGGTGTTTGCTGCCAAGCTTGAGGACCCGAGTTGGACCCCCAGAATATATATAGTGGAAGGAGAGAACCAGGCCCTGAAGGTTGTCTTCTGACCTCCACATGCTCTGTGGTGTGCACATTGCCCCCCAAATAAAATAAAGTACCAAAAACGGGTTTATGGGTGGGCTGGTGAGATGGCTTAGTAGTTCAAAGCAGTGGTTGCTTGGTCATGAGGCCTGGAGTTCAGATCCCAGTGCCTATGTGGAGTGGCTTACAAAATGCCTGTAACTCTAGCTTCAAGGAATCTGGCAACATCTTCTGGCCTCCAAGGCACCTACACACAAGCACATACATAAATACATACATATGCATGTGTGTGCACACACACATTCACACATAAATAAATTAAAAATATTTTAAAAATGAATTTATGGATGCCTTTTCTGGGACCCATTTTTCCTTCAACATGAGATAAGTTTGTGTACAGATATTGGAAAGGGAAGATGCTCAGATGGATGGGAGCTACAGTTTTGACTTATAAAAAGACTGGACACTTTCACACACAGCAAACTTCATCATGACAGCCAAGTGCAGAAATTTCTCTGCTTTTCAAGTCAGTTCTCAGCTCCCACTTTTTATTCTTCTCTTTAGGCTTTCGTTCCTGCTACCTTTCTATTTATCTATAAACTCTCTCCTGCCTGAAGCCCCTTCTGTCCCAGGAACTGAGGGGAGACAGGATTCAAACATTCATCCTCCATTTGATTCTTATAAGGGAGAGCTGGCTGTTTCCATTATAGATGTTACAGAGTGCGGCAGGCTGTGCCTTGAGACCAGGTGTGCCCAGAGCTGCAACTCCAGTGCTGCCTGAACGTCATGGGGTCTGAGAACTTGTATCGTCAGTCAGTCCACAGTCAAGCTCCAGGTCAGGACAGGTAATAAAAATTTGCTCAGAATTTCCACAGGACCCTTCACTTGATAAATCTCACTGAGGACTCTCAAGGGGGGCCTAACAGTAAAAGGTCAAATGGTTTCATTTGAGCATCTGGGGCTGGAGTAAAGAAAAATGAGCCAGAAAAAGCAACAAACAAACAGTCTCCATTTTTAAGTCTCCCCACCGCCTTCCCTCAGCT